ACAACAAGGATGCAGGAAAGAATAATCCATCACCTGCAAGATGATGCAAAGATGAACAATGTGAGACTAATAGGCATCAATGAGAAAGAAGGAGTCAATATAGAAATGTAACTTCAGAGCAATGAGAGTAAAAAGAAATCCAAAAAGTATTTTTAGTTCTTGGTTGTATTATTTTTCCTCACAGAACTGAGCTGTTTTTAAAACTTAGATTGAAATACAAAGCATGGAGAAGAGTGATGAAACTGTTGGAGAACAAAGTGGGCAATGTGATCAGTGTATCAAGGCTTATTTAAAAGTTATAGAAACTTGCATTATTATGGAATTAGTATTGATACAGGCAAGTGCAGCCTAGCTGAAATGAAATAGAATAGAAAGCTCAGTAGAATCATTGCCTGCCTGGCAAGCACAAGATCCTGAGTTTAAGAATCTTTGGTATTCATCTAAAAGAGAAAATAAATTTTGGGCCTATATAATATAGCAGGTATGAAAACTAACTCTATGTTGATGATAGACCTGGAAAGGAAAGGTAAATTTAAAATTTCTTGGAAGACAACATGGAAGAATATCTTCATAATCTCAAGATTATGGAAAAAAATATAAAACATGACATGATATCCTAACCACAGAAGAAAAGAATCAATAAACTTGATTATATTAAAATTAAGAATACCTTTCATCAAAAGATACCACTAAGAAAGCAAAGAAAAGCAAATCACAGCATTTAAGAAGTTGTTTGCAGCATTTATAAATAACAAAGCTCATATTCAATGAGAACAGAAAAAAGCCACCTCTCCCCCCAAATAGGCTGTGTGTTCAAAAGCATAAAAGCAATTTGCAAGAAGGGGGAAAAAAAGAGTCCAACTTCATTGATCTTCAAAGAACTGCAATTTAAAAAGACAAGGACTGCTTAGGCAGGCTGGTCCCCCCAGGCAGCATGCCATGCCCATCCTGCCCCTGGGGTGTGCTGAGACTTGAGACTGAGCATAGTGACACGCACTTGTAATCCCAGAGCTTGGGAGGCTGAAAACAGGAGAATCACTACGAGTTCAATCTGTGAAGTGAGACCCTCAAGACCCTGTACTTAATACATTAAAAAAAAAGACAACAAGACACAGTTCATCCCCATCAAGCTGGTAAAACCTAGAAACTCCAGTACACAGGTTGGTAAGGCAGTGGCAGAAAACACACTTGCATACACTGTGCCAAGTAAAATTTAGTACACACCTTTGGACTGTAATTTTGGCTCACGTAGGAAAGTTAAAATATGCACAACCAGCCTATAAACCCCAGAAATACTCATAGGTGTGTTATATTTTATATACAGGAATATGCATAAGAGAAGCATTGTTTGTGTTATTAAAAAAGTAGAGGCACCTGAGTGCCCACCAAAGGTAGACTAGATGGGGAAAGTATGACAATGGGAGTTAACCAGCTGGAGCGCATGGCAGTGGTACAGTTAGGTCTGGCAAAGCATAATCTTAAGAAAGAGAAGCAAGTTGTTCATCGTATGAATTCTTTTATACGAAAGTTCAAAAATGTTAGAGGCACACATGTGGTGACACAGTCATAAATAAAAGCAAGGAAGTAATAACGTATGGAGACATCCATAAAGGAGTCTTGGGCAAAGGACTGGATTTTTTTTTTT